GCGCGGCGACTGTCGTGGGCAGACAGTTAAAAGAGCAGCGGGCTCTACAAGTCGCACGCCCCGTGAGTGGTTGGTAGATCGCGCCCGGGGCGTTGATGGTAACGGAGTAACGGTGTTGTGCCTGCGGGGATGGGTGGAGCGGGGTAGAGCGGGGGAGTGCGGTGGTTGCGGCGGGGCGGAGGCGCTGGAGGGGCGGGAGTGGCGGGGGTCGGTGGTGGAGGACGTGAGAGCGGCGGGGCCGGTGGTCGGATGCGGGGGGGGGCGTGGCAGGGATGGCGGAGGGGACGGTGGCGTAGCGCGCGCGTGGAAGGCAGCGGGGGCGAGGGCGGAGGGTCCACGGATCGGTGGCGGCAGGGACGGTGACGTAGCAACGGCTGCGTAGTGGTGGGGTAGGTGGTGGCTGGGATAGTGCGGCGGTGCCGCCGGTTGGGCGGGATGGTGACGCTGAAGGGCGGGGGCGCGGGTCGGTGGCGGAGACGTGAGGAGCGGCGGGGGGGTGGTCGGATGAGGGGGCGACGAGGGACGGTGGCGGCAGCGGAGGCGTGGAAGGCCGTGGGGGCGGGTGCTGCGGGTCCACGGCTCCGGTGCGGCAGGGATGGTGTCGTAGCAACGGCTGGTGAGCGGCGTGTGTTGTGGCGGCTCCGGTGGGATGGCGGCGGTGGGGCAGGGGCAGCGGCGGCGGCGCTGCGGTCGCGAGGTCGTCGGTCAAGGCCGGGGCGCGGCGCCGCACGGCGCTCGATGCCTCTCTTCCTTCGCGTAACATTTGCGCGGACAAGAGCGGCCGCCGCCCAGCGCGCGGCGACATTCGCAAACCCATTTCGCCAACAGCCACCTGCCCTCCTTCCCAGGAGCGACTGTTTAAACATCGCTAAAGTAACTACAGGGTCACCGAATGACTCATATTCTCATGTAGTCGTTCCATGATCAGCACCGAAGGGCTATACAAGTTATATTTAACAATCCAGGAGAATATTATAATAAAATAATTTTTTCTTTCTGTTTGAGAAAACCTCATATGGAATTTCCGAAGTGATGTGATGATGCTAAGAAAGTGTTATGATTTAGTGAATTTTTATTAATTGTGTAATATTATTTCTTTATAGAATGATATTTGCAATATTTAATAACCCGCTCAGTCTATCAACTTTCTTTATAGAGTAGTTACCCAACTTTGAGATTACTCAACTTTAAATGCAGGTAATATTTACTTACATAATCTTAAGTACATTATTCAAAACAGGATGCTTCTTTTCTACAGAATGCATAAATATTTTTCGGACTCTCTCCTTTGGAATATTTTTCAAGTTATTTGGAGAGAAAGAGCTGTTAGATTTACCGCATATTGTGATTCAAGCAATACTACAAGAATTATTTCAAGCACTATTTTATCGGAATACATTTTACTTTTCGCGAAATAGTTGGAATTTAGAATGCGGCATATTGCCGTCACAAACTGACTCGCATACTATATCTGTTTTAGTTTACAATTCTCTCAGATATTCAACGTGATTTGAAACATAAAATTAGTTTAAACAAAAAAAATTGTTTAATGCTGTTAGTTAATGCTGTTAGCTAGTTAAGTGAGAAATCAGTATAGTAGAGGTTTTTCGTGCAAAATTTCTGAAATGTTAGGCCTTAAAGGTGTATTCTTCTTTAATGCGTGTTGATTTTGTTTGCAATTTCTTTCCTTGCTTACCTTTCATAAACCAGGTTACACAAGTGGATATAGTGGTCACAAGTGAGTAATTCTGGAGATGGTTGGGCGATCTCGATTTAAACATTGGTCTTGTAAGCAAGGTTCCCGTTAAAGCCACCACTTCTGATGCCGCTGCATCTCGATCTTTCTCTCACGAACACGTGTATCCGTCGCGGCTGTCACGTACGCTGTGTGTGACGAAAACTAACGAGCGAGAATGAATTTCCGTGTAGGCACCTGTTACTGCCGCAATCTAATGGAATATCAGTGCTCGATGATGACTGCATTCTTTACATCAACGTGAAATGAAAACAAGGTTCGTTTCTAGTTTCTTTGGATTTATATTTATTAATATTTTGCGAATAATTATTAAAGATGATTTAGAAAGATCAATATGCACGTTAATATTAACTCACACTATCTACAATGCATCTGAAATTTGACGATGAGTTTTGATTTGGAATGAGTTCATAAAGAACTCACTCTAGAATTCAGAGGAGCCAGTCTTCTCCTTTTAAATATTCTTCTCCTTTCCTAATATAACAATATTGAGGATTATATTAACATTTTCCTTTAAAATGCACATTATTTGCTGACTTCCAAGCATTTATAAAGAAACAACGAAGTAGTAAAATGAACCTAAGGTGATGCAGAAGCCTCCACATATTCATTTCATGTCGTGAGATAATTTGACAAACCTAGTCACGAATTCTCAAATGCTTGCTTACAGACGTTCATGAAGAGGAATACATTTTGATGAAATTTTATTTTTGTTTAAAGTCGAATCAAACATAAGATCAAACATATTAGTACAGTTAACATATTTGAGAATTATTTATAGTGAATTATTTGGATTGATTATTTATGAATTCTGATTAAGGTAAAGGAATCTGATTCTGCCTGATTCAATAAATCTGATGATTCCAACTAAGTTATAGATTAATTAGGCAAGAAATTGATCAACAATTAACAGACGGGATTTAATATAAAAAGGTAAGATCTGAAATAGATTGTTTTGCTTAAAGTCATTCACAATGAAAAATTATAACAATGAAATAGCTTATTAAAAAATAATTAAAAGAAAAGAAAACATTCAAATTGATCGAAGAAACTTCTCTGCTGTAACATAATTTGAATCCATAGGTACCAAGGAGTCTAAAACGAAAGCTTCTACTTCGTCACTACTACGCCAGCTACTTTTCTGCAACTCCGTTAAAAAAAGGGGGAAATCAAGAGGTTGAACATATTTAATAGAAAAAATGGATATACTACAGGGCTTCTTTCAAAGTTGTCAGAAGAACCACAGAGCCTCCGTCTCTCCTGTGCGCTCGCCTTTGATGGCTAACCCTTCCCCTTTCGCCAACCTTATTCCCGGCAAATCTTCTAAGCGATCACTTAAGAAACGCTAAATCTATTGAAGGGCGAAAAGAAATGCCAGACGGCACACCGCGAGGTTGTCGAATCTGCTTGGCAAGGAATACAGGGTGTACCGGGAGGAATCCGATACTGGACGGAGCGTCGTTGCTTCAACGCTGATTGCATCGGTCGGGCTACCCGACAAGGAATGCACGACGCACAGGGAAGAACCCGACGCCGGACGGAGAGGCGTTGCATCAGTGGATTGCAGCGGTCGGACTGCCCGAGTTGAGGGAGGCGGACAGCAGGCGGCCAGTCCCGCACGGCGGCGACGTGGTGTAGACACCCCCATCCCCACCCCCCACGACACGCGCCTGCGCTAGGTCGTGACGTAAACCGTTGGCTCTGTAATTATTCGCTGCTTAGGAACACTCGCTTTATCTCGCTCCCGCCGCTGAGCGTCTGCCTCCGAACGCGTCCTTCATCACGTGACACCTCCACTTACTTTCTAGCTGTCTGCGTGACACGTGGGGGAAAGAGTAGAAACACTAGACAGCGAGAATCGAAATGTTACGAGGGGTGGGTTATGAGTATTGGGAGACGAGAACAAAACATCTCTGGGCGGAGATGCATAGCTACTTTCTCTCATTGTTCATAACCCTGACAGTCTCAAGTTAATGAATCGTTTTTACGTCAGTATGACGACTCGTCTATATTTCATGAGGCACAACAATAAATAAGTAACCTAATGAAATCCATATGTCAAAACTAAGACTCTGGTGCTCCAAACCTTCTTCAGATTTAATAAATGATATGCAACATCGAATTTAATACATGAAAGTGGAACGGATATAAGTCGAGACAGAACTATTAATCGAATGAAAAAATAAATATGAATAGAAGTACACTAAAGAATAAAGGAAAGAACGATTAAAAATATTGAAATATTTGTAGTCAGACAAATATATTTTAAAAAATCCTTTTGAATTATGCTCAATACATTCCTGCTGAGTTTCTGAGCAATAACAAATAATTCTGTAGAGCTTTACTGCACTGAAAGTAGCCAAAAGAAGTAATCAACTAATGAAATAAATATGCTTCTAACAGAGTTCTGAAAAATGTTGACTTTAGAAACCCGCAAAAATAGCACAAATCGTACGCTGAGTATTGAGCAGGCAGCGAGAGTATTGGGGAAAACTGTATACCTCGATTCCAATACGTAGACACGCATACTTCTTAATTATTTAGAACATTTTCGGAATATTCCAACTAAACAACGCAGCCAATACATCTTCTAATTACAAAATTGCGAGGTGTCTACCTTCAGTTCCTCTTTCGCATTCTATCAGCATTCAATCTCCGGCTCATTCACTGTGAAAACAAACGGCTGGGAGAGTGGTTCCGGTGGCTGGCCTCGTGCGGAGCGTCACCTCAAGCAGTAGGCCACTCGCCAGCTGCTTGAACGCTCGTACCAGCAATGGGTCTCCTACAAGTCATTGATACAGAACCGCCAGAGCACTCTCAAAAGCCAACACCATTAAATATATTTTTGCTCGATTGTCCGGCCAAGCAACATTCAGGAGTTGAGAAGTAATTATAAGTGAAGGAATTAGATAGCGTTGTTTGTGTATTATTATTGGTTTTGGGTAGACAAGTCAATTTCAACACACACAATAGCGCACATGTTGACCCTCTTGCTAATTAGAGATACAGTGAAACTTGCCTTAACGGCCGCAGATGGTTGCGGAGAAAAATGGCGTAGGTACTCAAGTAGCCGCTTAATCGAGAATAGGAGAATATTGAATGTGAACATACCATCAAATTTGGTTTGCAGTTTCCAAAAGAATGCAAGATTGAACGTTGAATACATCACGTAACTACTAAATGAAATTTAGTAAAAAAAAAAAGGGTGCATGTTTAATCGTCCGATTCTGTTCTTCTGTTACAGCACGACCACCACCACCACCACGAGCCCGGCATGCCCTTCGACTTCCAGTACGCCGTGAAGGATGACCAGTTCGGCACCGACTACTCGCACAACGCCATCAGCGACGGCGACGTGGTGCGCGGCGAGTACCGCGTGCAGCTCCCCGACGGCCGGCTGCAGATCGTGCGCTACACCGCCGACTGGGCCACGGGCTTCCACGCCGACGTGCAGTACGAGGGCGAGCCCCGCTACCCGGACGGCCCCGCCCCCGGCTTCGGCGCGCCGGCTCCTGGCTTCGGTGGCGGCGCGCAGGGCCCCGCGCAGGGCGGCCGCCGCCCCGGAGGCTACTGAGCCCTGCCCCCACCC